AGTGCTCATAATACATTTTTCCTTGTCTATGCAAATACCTGGAACGCAAAAATTTTCATCTATTCGGGAACAATTTGGGTGCGATGCACGTCGCATAGCTCGCAGTTTGGAGATGTTGTCCACCTGAGATGCAGCTACGTACGAGAAACCTCACTTTTGTCATAAATGCCTCAGTGACGAACTGACACCACGATGCCTCATATATAAGGCTTTTGTTAATACGGATGTGGGCAGTGAAGTCCCAAGATGATTTTAAAAGCAAATGACGAGAGTCCTTATCGACGACTGCCACAGACGACTATAAAAGTACAAAGCTAAGATTGAGAAGGTCAGAAGAGAATGTTTCTCGTTCTTCGGAGATTTTATCGCCGAGAATCTGGGCAAGAAGATCTCAGGTTTGATAAGTCAGAGGCAGACCAAGAAAAGCGAGCTTTTGGAGCAAAAACTGAATAGGGTAAAAGCAGCAGTCAATGAAAGCTTAATCTTGGTCCACAAACTTTCATCCAATCCCCTCACTACCACACAACTTGCAATACTAGAACGTGGAGCAACTTTTAGCTCAGCAGACTTCCAAATGCCGAATTTATCGCCGCCCTTCAGTAAGCACTTCAATCAACAAGGGCCTCGGCGGATACAAACTAGTTTATCCACCACAACACAACGTCTTTGCTTACGCAACACAAACGGCGTGACAATGTTCGTTGAGGGAAAAAAAGGCCTTAAAAAGTCCAAAAGGACATGAAGACAATCCTTCTGCCAGCCAACAAAGGTCGTTCTACGATGGTGCTCAAAACCTATGACAAAAAAACAAAAACTCTGAGCCTACCTGACAACCAAAGTTCGCACAGGATATATCCAGGCAGTGAAATTAATTATTTGCTCACCCTAATGAATAAAGTCTGACAAAACTGAGAGCAAAAGGTGTAATCACGCCGGGCGATTTGTCTTCCATGAAACAAACCGACATATCACCAGCACGATTTTTCTGCCGAAATTAAACCAAAAACAACACATCGTTTAGGCCTTTTGTCTCCCTTTCTGTTACCCTACGTACGGTTTCGCAAAATGGATGTGCATTCATATCAAGCTCAACAACAACAACAATAGCTTCTGCCAAACAGTTCATCAAAATAATCAAAAAGCTGAATGTGGAACCAGATGAATCTATGGTATCCTTAGATATTTTCTCACCGTTCACCATCATCGCACAGCAACTAGTGATTGATGTTTTAGGACAACAACGAAAAACCCCTGAAGTCCGAACATCTGCCCGAACTTCTTTGGCATTGCCTCGAAACCTATTTTAAATTTGGTGGACAAATGTATGAGCAAATTAAAGGCACTCCAATTGGCTCACCCACCCCCTATCAAGCCTGATTGCTTAAGTGGTACTTCAATGGATAGAACACGTTGTATTCCCCAAGCATCAATCAAATTGATGGGTTTGTTATTTCGGTAACACTTTCTTCATTGTCAAAATATTTGAAATCAAGCACCCCAAAGACTTACTGAAGTCAGTTGATCCTAATATGCAATTCACAATGGAGGTGGAGAAGGAAAGAAACGGTGAAATACCCTTCTTCGATGTCCTGGTGTACCGGTGTTCGAGCGAACTACTGTAAACTTTAGTATTCAGAAAGCACACCAGCATGAATTAGGTACTACATTTCAATAACAATTACTTTATATGCCGTAAACGCAGCTGTGTTCTTTTTTTTACGAAGACTTGCAACACATTGCAGCAGACCAGCTGCCAGAAGAGCTGCGCAACAATACCTTCAGGAATTCTTTGCGTTTACGGATATTCAAAATCACTTATCAAACAAAGTAAGCGCCAAGTGAACTGACAGTGGCCACTGTAACAGCAACCGGAAGTCTGGAGGATCATAACCTACATAAAATGATTCTCCAAAGTAGTCTCACGACAGCTTAAACCTGCTACCGTAGGCATAGCCCATTGCTCACAGGCGACAATACGCCGCTGGGTGATGCAACCTAAAGAGAGACTGCCTACTGCAAAAACCTTTGCAGTTGTCTACAATATACTCTGCAACGATGGAAACTAAAATTACTTTGGAAAACAGATCACAAAGAGCAGATTTACCCACAAGAGCACAAACTAGCGGTTTAGAGACTAGACCCGAAGTCGAAACTTGCAGCACACCTCGCAGAGACTGGCCATGGCTTTGATATGCAAGGAGTGACCACCCTAGGCCAAGAAAACTCAAACGCCCAAAAGGTTGGCGCTTAACGGAAGGTACTCAGATGCCAACTTTGTCAACAGGCATCTAGACCTGCCCGCGGTCTGCAAAGTCTTGCGCCATTATGTGGCAAAAAAAACAGAACAAGGCCAAACCAAACATACGAATGGCAAGCGAGTAGGCCCCCAAAACAAACCGTCCGGAGGAAGAGGCATAGTGACTAGAACCCTCTACAGGGTGACAAGGCTCCACACTTATTTATGTTCATTACCGCCGACTCCACTGACAGCTAACTGCCCTCATCTCTTATCCGTTTTGATTTCTGTTTCTCATCTTATAACAGCCTGATGATTTTTGAGAGTTGATTTGCCTATGGCCACTATAATTACCGCCTTTTGGTTGCTACTTCTCCCCTCTGAAGAAGGACTCCTGTTAGAGTTGGAAAGCTTAAGACAATTATTCAATTGATCCTGTGCTCGAATTATCTTCGTCCTTGTCTCTGCAAATACCCAAAATGCGAACCTTTTGATTCAATCGGGTTTTATTAAGCCTTATTATCAAAATGCAGCCACCTTTGTCTTACTAGTTTGGTCTTGACGGTAGACGGCATACTCTTCTATTATAAGCAATTAGGAAATTAACGGACGGATCCACAATATTTTATCACATATAAAATCGGGCTTCAACTCGAAAGCATTGACACTCAGTAGAGCCATCTTATTTTCAAAAGCTCATATAGTTAGCGGTGAAATACCAATTGTAGTTCGAGTAACCGTACTAGGGTTATTATTAGTCAGAAAAACAACTGGGTGGTTGTTTGGAGAGTAACTACATACTGATTCCGAAGATTTGACTGTAAACAGATAGCTAAGCGACATAGGAACAAATACCGGGATGATCTTGTTGGTAGTTAAATTGAAATGGGGATAACATTTCATTACATGGTTGATTATTTCTCTCATACTGGCAAGAACGTATTTACGAAAACTAAGAAATAATAATGAGCAGCATTAGGCATATTAAGTGCTTAAAAGAACTATAAGA